CAGTGTTGCCCCCGTACCGGACCGGGGACCGGCAACGGGATTGCAACCCTCGGTGTTGCGCCCACACCTCGCTCAGCCAGTGAGCGGGAACCGGTCTGTATGTGGGATCCGAACCCTCGGGCGGGAGCGCCGCCGCGCTTCCCAAGCGCGCCACCGGGCCGGCCCCGAGCTTCCCCATTTTCTGATATTCAGTTGGTATTACTATTAGCAGATGTTGTGAAAAGAATGTCTAATATAAAGGGAGCACATTCTAAAGAGCCCTTTTACCACTGGCCCACTTGGTAGTTTAGGGGCTCTTACCCAAACTGAGGCCAAATGATTAAGGTCTCATGAAAAGCTTGGGTTGACCCCAGCTATTTTCACTCAAAGCCAGTTTTCTTTTTCCTCCTGTGAGCCTTGGGAGGCTGCTCAGGCACCTCCTTGAAACCAGCTGCACCCTCGCACCTGAAAGCCGTTTGTCAAATGCCTTCTGTGCCTGTCCTTGCCCTGTATCCTTTTCTCTCCCCCATCATACATCCCAGAGGTCATTGCCTCTAGATGTTTGCAGGGTGGTCTGGACTTTCCATACACCTCACACAAGCCAGCATTATTCTTCCCAGCAGCCTCACCTCCCCCAACTGTGTAAAATGGGGTCCTACAATTCAGCTAAAAGTCCTCTGCATACTAAATGCCCTGGGCCTTCTAGAGAAGTGGGAAACTTTGGGGGTGGGGCAAGCCTGCATCTGGGAAGGCCAGATTCACATCTGGTGGATGAAATCTGAGGTTAACAGAAAGGATCACAGGCCTTTCTGGGCTCCAGTTTTCTCATCTGTCAAGTGGAGATCATCGCTTTTCCTTTACAGATGCAGTTTGGAGGAAACAGCCTGAATGGCCTTCCAGGCACAAGGGTGGTTTTCAACAGTCATTACTAATCCTTGACAAATTTTTTTTTTTACTTTTATTTTTAAAAATTTTATTTAATAATATAGAAATGTATTATGATGAACTCTTGAAAACAAAAATCTTAACTATCTGATCTAGAAAATTCAAAACTGTCCTAAGAGATGCAGAAAAGAAATAAAGGAAAAAAACTTAGATATAATGAGTTTTGAGCTTGATTTCAATCTCCCATAACAGTCTGCCAAAGAAAATGAATGTTGGTTACATGATAGTTATATTTAACAAGTTACACAACATATATAAAGATTATTATACCCTAAAAGAATTACGTGGAGGGTACTAACATCAATAAAACACATGTATTTCACAGGGCCTTAACCTTTAGACTAGTAGGGCCACAGCCCATAGATTAGAGGGACCACAGTCCTTAGATGAGGCTGTAGCTTAGTAGGATCTTTATCTTAGTAAGACCACAGTCCTTAGCTGTTAGAATGGCCAAAGCCCTTTAGTTTAGGCTGTAGCATAGTGGGGCCACAGCCCTGTAGTTGTTAGCAGGACCAAAGTCCTATAGTTTAGGGAATGGCTTAACTTTTTAGTATTGCACATAGAAATGCTAAGCTTGGGAAAAAACAGAAAACTTTCACAGGACTAAAAAGTCTCTGGTGTGGATAAGAAAATTGTAACACAGCAAAAGTGTTTGCTTTAAGGGCAGATGTCCTTGGTGCAGCTAAACCTAATTATGAAAAAGTGTGTATGCTAAAAGCTTCAAGGCTACTCTGCCAATTAGTGGTTGGTTCCACATTTCACTTTCCTAGGGAACTAAGTGTTGCCATAACGATTATCTCATTGGTTCTTTTGTATGTCACATAGCTTAGTTTTATGACTCCTTTGATGGTAAATTGCTTGAACTATTTTTAAGTTGCACCTGCTTTAATGAAAATTGTTATGTAGCCAGTTTGTTTATGATTTCACTATGACTGATTAACCACCTGTGTTCTTTTCTGTAACTTTCTTGGCTGGACAATGAAAACGGAGAGAAAACCTAATTCGGGGTTATTTCCCAGGAATTCCTTCTTTCTTGAAGAAGTTGTCTCCTGGAATTTAACCCCTTTGGGCATCTCATTGCTCAGGAGAAATGGGCTTTGAATAATCCTTTGCGTCTCCATCTCCGTCACCCTGGGGGAGTGGTGACAGAATTATGTAGTTAATGTTTGATTAAAATATGTACATCAATGGTGCTTTGTACACTGCTTACCTTTTTTTTTTTTTTGATTCTTTAAAAAAATTTTAAAAATTGAAAACATTTATCTAGACTGACCAAGACAAAAAGAAGACAGAAATTACTAAAATCAGAAATAAAGCAGGGGCATGGTAGAGCAGTTGCTTCTTCTATTATGCTGGAGTGGGCTTTGAGGAGAGAGATGTCCTCTTCTTTTTCCAGTCTCTGCTGGTGACTCTCCTTGTGTCACTGCAGTCTTGTGTCTGGCTGGCCGCCTGCATGGTGGCCGTGTCTACTGCTGTGGCGTCGAGCTGCTTTTGCAGCAGCCATGGCTGTGGCGGGCCACCCGTGAAATGGTGTTTTCAGCGTGCTCCTCACCTGCATCATCCGGGCCGAGGGGGCAGCTCTTGACTTATGCCTCAGGACTCAGAGCATGTTCTGTTTCTTGCCTCCATCGTCTAACCCTTTATAAGTTTTAAATTACTGAATTATTCCATCAAATACACAAAACAATCATGATCTAGGAAACTATTCATATGTCCATTTTACACCTGAGGAGCCCGAGAATAGGTCAGCCCACAGGTAATGATCAGGGAAATCTGGGAATTCCTGATGTATGGTGTTGGGAAAATATAGGAAAATAGTCAGGGCCGCTCAGATGTTCAGAATCTTGCCAAGAATTTGATGTAAATTAGGGACATTTGCCCAGGTGTTCCTTGGTTATTCTCTAATGTAATTGTGCATGTGCACCCAGGTGTCCTGGGTTATGACTTAACTATAAAGGATGAGGGGCTCTGATCCATGGTGCCCCCCATCCCTGGGATACCCCCAGGGGGCCATGGGGAGGCCGCTACTGCTACTGAAGGCTGTTGCTGCAAGCTGTTGCTGACAGGGTCTCTGGGACCCTCTGAGAGGCTGCTGCCACCGCCAGACTTATAAGCTGCTGGACCTGCTGTGCTGTAAGCTGCTGCTGCTGCTGAGGACTGAGCTTGTGTCATCTGCCAATGGCTCCCAGGATCTTTCCCAATTACCTAGAGCTTGTGGACCTGTGTGTCTGGGGTCTGGTGACCCAGTCTGTACAATGGGTTTGAAGGGCCTGAGCCCTATCTCTGACAATATAAACGGAAACGGTATAACTAAAATAATGAAACATTTTGGTTTTAGTTATGATTTGCCTTACTTGACAACTGGCTTAGGTGTGTAGCTTTACAAATGGGTACTTCATGAAGTTAATACACGTTCATTCACTGCCTTTCCCAGCCCCAAAACCAACACCCTCACATGCCGGGTCCTCACCTGTCTCTCAAGAAAGGTTCGGACGCTAAGACTCAAGCTGCTTATACCTCAGCATCGGCCCTGGGATAAGTCAGGGCTGCCTCATCATCATCTGGTTTGGTCTGGTGTTACCTCAGTGTGGGCCGAGTTTGAACCTACTGTTACCTTAGTGTCATTCATCACGTCATTTCTGCTCCAGCTCTACTACCAAAACATAACTAAGGTACTTCTGCACATTATCTCAGACCGAGGCATCTGCATTTTCATCAGGACAGAGCCTTAAAGAAACAATGTTAATGAAAGGATCCAGCACCCAGGATCCATGGAGGTTGTGAGGGGTGGAGTGGGGCAAGCTCCCTGCAGGCCTGTGGTCTGCCTGAGACGTAATCAGAAGATGCTTAATAACAGTAGACAGCTGCTGGCCATCGACCACCTGAGAAAAGGTGAAGGTATCATCAGCTTGAGCATTTGTGTCCAAGCCTTTCTTGAGAGACGGGTGAGGATCTGGCAGGTGAGGGCATCGGTTCTGGGGCTGGGAAAGGCAGTGAATGAACGTGTATGAGCTTCCTGAAGTGCCCGTACCTCAGGCATTCCCATAGTTCCCTGATCATTAGCTGTGGGCTGATCAAGTGACTTAACCTTTTCTCAGGTTAAGAAGACTGGAATATTGAAAAGAAACTGAGGCCAAACGTATAAAGCATAGGATTCACTGAGCCAATATGACGATTGCAACCAGGTAAACGCACAAGTCAGTTGCCCTGAGAGATACTCTCTAAAGAGGGCCAGCAGTGCCTAGCATTTTACCATCACAAGAAGGCGGAAGAATCAAAGGAGAAAGGACAGCCCCACCTGATCATTTCATTAATTCTTCTCTTGGTTGTACATGATGCATAGATTTGGGATTGTTACTGGATACTATCTTACATGCACAGATGCAGGGTAAGAATCACAAGGAGCCTTCTAGGACATTTTATGACTTTCTGGTGTCATCATGTCTGCTTCTAAGTAAAAATGGTCTTATGATAATGCTTTCCAGGACATGTGGACATGACTACTGACTTATCCTAGACGTTCCAAGGTACTACAATAAGTCTGACCTGGCCAGAGCAGATTTTTTTGTGATCAGGGATCAGCACTTTAGACGCTATCTCTTTAACCCTTGTGCAGATTGTGGGAGCTTGGCGCTGTAATATGTTTTCGGCAGACGGGAAAACAAAGACTTACAGGGATTAGCAGTTTGTACACGGACATACAACTCTGGAGTGTCACACACACCAGGAATTTGGACACACTCAGACTAGCTTCAGAGTCCCTGCTATCCCTGGCTCTGTCCCCCAGGTGCACAGTCCCAGGTGTTAAGTCCCAGATGGACTCTCAGCAGGCAGGAAGACCCTTAGGCAGAGGCTGGTAATCACACAGGAGGGGGTAAGACGGACTCATGAAGTCACCTAGGTGAACAATTTCTGATTCAGAAATCCCAGTGGGATGACTGTGATTTACTACTGCTGGAGTCCCAAATAATTTTTCTTTCTTTTATTTTTCAAGAGTAGTACCTTTAATATACCCCAAAGTCAAGTGGTCCTGCTGCATCTTCACCCTTGATGATGTTCTTGTTTTCTGTTCTTTACAGGAGAGGTTGCAGCATATAATGCAGGTATAGGTAACATTACAAACCTTGATGTGAACAGACTGACTACACTCTAAGACTATTCTAATGATATAATAGCCAGAAATGTATATTTTATGGACAATGATTTTAACATCAAAGAGACATGATCAGAAAATGCACATCTTCCCTCTTACTCTAAAATACAGCAATGCTAATTATAATCAAATTGTAATTCTGCTCATTCATGGTGAAGCTACAAGACTCTATCCTAAAGTGAATGACATTCAGTCATTACTTAGTTGTTGAGGGGAACACTGAAACAAAAAGAATAAAGTTTTCAAATCAACTTTTCCTTGTGCTTTAATCTTTTCCCACCACCAGTCAATTCTCATAACATATGAGTACAAGGTGATCAGAGAACTCAGGCCCCAGTTATGTGTCTCCAACAAAGTTTCCCTGGATCTTGACATTGCTCTGAGGCTGTACCATCATGCAAAGAGAGAGAGGGGAGAACCCTCACTGGCCACCCCCCATTTCAGAAAAGCTCCCACCCTGTGCCCTAGGAAGATCCAGCTGGCTTGCCAGAGTGGAACAAACAAACCAACCTAGATATTTGAACAATGCCATTCTTACCCATTTTGGAGTGAAACTATTAGGGAGAAAGGTGAGAGAATTAAACCAAATCATAGCACTAAAACCTCAAAGTCTAAACTAAGAAAGAATCACAGCAGGTTTAGTCAGTGGAAATGACTAGAATTTACAATATATTTTAATGAAAACACTTTCTCACCATCTTTAAATAAAAATGATTTGCACTTTTTAATCTGAAGTTGTGATGGCATCAGGACTCAATGGCTTCCTGCTCCACAGGTTTCAGATGCCATTGCACCACTAATTCCCCAGTGCTCTTGAGGCACGTGTTAGACATGTTCTCCTCTGTTGGAAGTCCTTGTGGCAACTTCAGGGGCTTGATTCTATGACACAAAAAAATGCACTTAGAATTACACTAGGTAACACATTTTTAGAACTGCTGAAATAACAAACAACAAACCTTATCAAATGTTTAACCACTTTCAGTTTTGCATTCACTGAAGGGATGTTCTTGTGAACTTGAGGGGTATGTGCCTATGAACAAAATAAACAATGTTATGGATCAATTTATAAAGTAGATGGTTCCATGTTTCAGCAAAATGTTAAATTGAAGGTTCATTCTGTCTAAATCAAATTTACAAATAAGTTACACTAAGTAATACATTTAAACATGAGAAATAGTATATACCTAAAAGTTTAAAAAGTGTAAAATTGAAAGCAAATTTAAATAACACTAAAGATGACTAAAATGCTTGCATACTTTTTCTAATCCAAGCATCTTTATTATATCTTTTTCCCAATATGGACGTCCTTTTGTACTTTTTATTCTGGTAACAATATGTAATTTATGAGGGTTCTGTGGGTCCCCACCATATTTTTCATGATCTGCAGGTGAAGCCTGAAACACCTAGAAAAGAAGAATTACAAATGTTAAATTTTCAACTTACAGTTTCTAGGAACTCCCATTTTTTCTTAAAAAGCAAACAGATACCCCACCCCCCACATAATAATCTCTTCCCTATACTTTATAAAATCCTCAGCCTCAAACTGAACTCTTTTACCAGTGTGATGTCACAGATCTATGGAGCCTAAGGATTTCATATTCTAAGAAAAAGATCGCACAGGCAAGGATTTTTTTGTTTTGTTTTTTAACCTACAGAACAAAGCAAAACAACTAGATGACACTAAAGAGTTCAAATGCCAGGAAGATGTATTAGCAACATGACGAGCTGAGCACTAGGCTTTATTCCCCTCCCTATTCTCAGGTTAGGAGTTGACTGTCAAGTGGGGGAACCAACATGTAAGTTAAAAATGGTAATAAAACATGAGTATTATAAAAAGTACGTACAAAGTACTATGAGAGTACAGACAAATGACTAACGAACTCTGAGGGATGAGAAACATCCCCACAGAGCTGGCATTTGAACTAAATCTCTAAGAATCAAAAGGTTCTAGGAAGCTATCCCACAGAAACACTCCCCTAAGTACACAATACAAAATGTACTGATAAGGATGTACAGTGTAACAGTATTTGTAATACAGAAAATTTTAAAGGCAACACCCATGTTCCTCAATAGAATGACTAAATAAGTTATGATGCATCTGTTCTAAATAGAATGAATAATATAGCTAAATAAAATATAATACAAATACATAAATTCTAATGTATCCTATGGTATACAATGCTGCCATTAAAATGAATAAGGTTTACTATCTTGGTAGGTACTAACACTGAAAGATGGCCATAATATACTAAAGCCAAAAAAAGATTTCCATACCACTATGTGTAGTAGGACCTTATATTTGTATCACTGGTACCAAATACATGGGTGGATACATATGGTACATTCTATAAATACTGTCTGTAAGAATCACATATAATATGTATAAAGGTCTCAAAGACATTAGATCAAGAGTCATAATTCTGGGAAATCAGACTGAGAAAAAACAGAACCCCCCAAAAGAAGGTATTTTAATCAAAAATATTAATCAATGATCAAAAATATTGTAAACTTGTCAACTGAGAGGTTCACATTCTAGTCTTAAATGAGGAAAGCAGCTAGAGAAGCATTACATATGAAATGATTCATATTTTAAAAGCTTACAACAGAAAAGGATATGGGAGAAAGTGACAGCAGCTGTCCTTGGGTGGGTGAGATTAAGGGTATTTTTTGGTTCTTTTTGCTTGTTTGCATTTTTCTTGGGACTTTGAAGAGGTTAGGGTGAGAAGAATGGTGGAAATCAGAGGATGGGGTAGTTGTGCTAGAGAAAAGGAGAGACTATATAAAGAAGCAATGTGAAAGAGCATGAAACATCTGGGAAAAGCAAGTGGTTCAGTGTGCCTAATGTAGATAAAGAGTATGAAAAGCGATGTAGGAGATGAAGTTAAACTAAGCCCAACTATGCTGAGCCATTACAAATTACCAGTAGAGACACAGAGCTACTGACGGTTTGAAGCAATATGACCACATTTCAAAAAGAGATTCAGAAAGAAAATCCTTACAAGAGAATAAAATGAACTGGGGCTGGGAGACTAGTACAAAGAAATCCAGTTAGGAAGTACTTATGGCCACGGTTTTACAGCCTGAACTACAGTAGTTGCAACACAAAAGGGACCAGTTTAGGCAGTAAAATAGATGGATTTGTGGTGGGTGAAGGAGAAGGAAGTTAAGCTGGACCCAGATGTCTGTAGCCTGGGAAATCGGGCAGAGCACGGCAGCATTAACTGACATACTAACACAGGAAGAGCACCCTGTTTCTTTGACTGGTTGCGTGGAGGAAACGTAAGATGAGTTTAACTTGAAACACCTATGAGTTACCCAAGCAGCAATGTCTAGAAACCAGCTGAGAATAAAGGAATAGGTTCAAGACAGGAGCTGGAGATACACATCTCAGTCATTTTTATGAAGTTTAAAAGTTTTTACACTTACCACAGCTGACGATCAAATCATTGCCTTGAATATTTTAAATGAATGCCAACATATATATCTACCCTTTACTTCCAGAAACACAGAGTAAGAAACATGGAAAATAAAAGACAATATAGTTGTGGAAAGGATAGCAGTAGAAAGACCATGACCTGAAAAATAAAGGGGTTTTTGATAAAAGAACATCAAGCACATTAAAGATATCAAGGTAGTCAACAGTAATACTATTTTCTCTTTAAAAAAAAAAAACCAGTGGAGGAGGGCAGCCCCTCGTCCGGAAGCAGGCAAGAGACAGAGCATGCCTGGGGTCCTAGGCAGGAGCCAAGGGCCAGCCCCCTCTACCCATAAGCAGGCAAGAAACAGAACACGCCCGGAGTCCCAGGCAGGAGCTGAGGACAGAATTCCCTGCCCAGAAGCAGGCAAGGAACATGCTGAAAACACCACTTCGCACGGATGGCCCACCACAGTCACCGCCACAGCCATGGCTGCTGCAAAAGCAGCTGATGCCACAGCAGTAGACACAGCCACCATGTAGACTGCCTGCCAGACATTCGACTGCAGTGACACAAGGAGAGTCATGAGCAGGGACCGGAAAAAGAAGAGGACGTGTCTCTCCTCAAAGCCCACCCCAGTATAACGGAAGAAGCAACTGCTCTACCATGCCCCTGCTTTATTTCTGATTTTAGTAATTTCTGTCTTCTCTCTTTTTTCTTCGTCAGTCTACAGAAACGTTTGCAAATTCTGTTGATCCTTTTAAAGAATCAACTTTTGGTTTTGTTGACTTTCTCTATTGTTTTTTTAATTCCCTATTTTATATATTTGTTATAATATTTGTTACTTCCTACTTATATTTGCTTTTGGTTTAGTTTGCTCTTTTTCCATTTTCTCAAGGTAGAAGTTTACATTACTAATTTGAGATTTTTCTTATTTTTAACATAAGTGTTTAAAAGTGTAAGTTTTCCTCCAAGCACTGCATGAGCACTGTGTCCTATGAAGTTTGAAATGTTGAGCTTTGATTTTTAACTCAAGGTACTCTCTAATTTCCCTGTGATTTTTCTTTTTACCCATTGTTTATGTAGGATAATGTTTCATTTCCACACATTTGTGAACTTTCTAAATTTCCTTCTGTTATTTTGGTGAGAGAATATATTTTCTATGATCTTAGTCCTTTTAAATGTAGTAAGACTTGTGGCAAAAAAAAAAATATATATATATATATATATGTATATATACATGTATATGTGTATATGTGTGTGTGTGTGTGTGTATATATATATATATATATATATATATATATATATATATATATATGAAAAAAAAAAATCTGTGGAGAGTGGTGGTTGCCAGGGCTGAGGAGAGGGGAGAAAATCAATGGAGGGCTTAATCAGTGTTTTCTTTTTCTTTTTTTCAGAAAAAGCTGAAAGATGCAAAGTAGCAATGGTTGATATAGAAAATGAAACTGTCCCAGTGCCACATCTTTTTTTTTTTTTTTCCTTTTTGTCTTTTTTTGTGACCGGCAATGGATCGCAACCCTCAGTGTCGCACCCGTACCGGACCAGGACCGGCAACAGGATCGCAACCCTCGGTGTTGCGCCTGCACCTCGCTCAGCCAGTGAGCGGGAACCGGTCTGTATGTGGGATCCGAACCCTCGGCGGGAGTGTCGCTGCGCTCCCAAGCGGCGCACTGTAGCAGTGCGCCACCGGGCCGGCCCCCCAGTGCCACATCTTAAGGAAGAAAAAAAAAGTGAAACTGAAGAGTCCCATAGTAAGAGAGCCTGAGTAGGAAGACTCACTGTTTTCTCAGAACAATGGTGACATAAAAACACAAAATATAAAGGGAGAAAAACATACGCTGGAATAAACAGACTCTGACAGAATAAAAACCACTACTGTGAAGGCCAAAGGCACAGATAACAGAACACATTTTTATTTTTAATAACCATTTGCATAAATCCCACGGTGTTTTAAAAACTGCACCACTACCTACATTCACATATAATTTAATATAAAAGCTTTCAATATTACAAAAATAGGTACCTTTTAAAATACACGTTTTTAAAAAAACAGTAACATTAAAAAACCCCATTATTCTTACTTTATCTGGAATTCTTGACTTGGTAAATTTGTGACGAATCCAATCGGTACAAATGAGAGACTCCACACCTTTTGTCACAGTCTAAAATATGATATAAAACATTTGTTTTTTAGAACTCTGTCTAGTGCAGAAATTCATACCCACCAATCTTTAGGTGACAAAAATCTATTCTTACCTAACTTGTAATTCTTAAAGGTTTATTTCAGCTCCCTAGCTGAATGAATATATCCCATCTAACCACTAACATATTATAAAGCTAAAAGCACATAAACATAGACTTCTAGGTCAGGGGCTGATAATCTTTTTCTGTTAAGGACAAAATAATAAGTATTTCCAGCTCTGGAGCTACACAGTCTCTGTTGCCACGACTTGACTCTGCTATTACAGGGTAAAAGCAGTCATAGATAATGTACAAACAAATGGGCATGGCTGTGTTTCAATAAAACTTTACAAAAATAAGTGGCAGGCAGAATTTGGTCTGGATGCCATAGTTTACCAACTCCTGCTCTAGACAATAATTCACCTTTAACAATACAATGTAAAAGAAATCCAAAATAAGTTTCTGGTTTTCTAGCCATCATCAACGGTGCCATCATTCCCAGTTCCCATCTCTTGTTCCTGCTCTACATCCCTCTAATCCTGTTTCTCTCTGGCTACTGAAGAAAAACGACTCATTGCCAACCTTCAGTTCATACCAGGAAACTGCTCTGTGAGTGGGCAACAGTCATTCCCTTCTAGCCTTCCCTGGATTGCAGAGACAGCACAACAACTAGAGAACAGGCAGGAGGGAATGGGAGTGGGAAAGGAAAACATGGGCTTTTTTTACACACCAAGAGCTCTGAGCTTCCAATCCTGGTTCTGCTGCCCAGCAGCTGTGAGACACGAGACACTCAATCTCTCAGAGGGTCAATTTCCTTTGCTCTTAGAAGGGAATAGTACTGACCTCATAGGATTAATCTGAGGTTAAGTTAATGTATGTAAAGCACCTGACATGAGTACATTAGGCTGCACCGCTGCACTTGCCAAAAGAAAGGAAATACATGAAAATACTAACATTAATGGTTTCTGTGGAGATTGTTTCTCTTCTTTCTGCTTTTCTATATTTTTCTAATTTTCTATGATTGAAAATGTACTCCTTTCATGATTGAAAGAAATAAACCTAAAACTTTAAGAAGATTAAAGCAGACTAAGGGGAATCAACAGTAGCTATTTTTTTACTGTCAGCTCTCCAGGGAAAGATCTTTTGTCATTCCAAATCTTTACACATGAAACAGCAGATAAACCTGAAATAAACAAAATTAACCCTCAACATTAAAAAATATTAAGATACAAAAAAAGGAATTTGTAAAAGAATTTAACTTGCTTGTATGTTTTGTAATTAGAAAAAAAATTCCTGAGGAATAAAAATCATTTTTTTTTAAATAGAAACACTTACCTGTAATCTGCCTGGGGTCCTGTGAACTACTGAATGCAAAACCCCTGCCATAAGTGTAGTGATTGTTCTCTTTAGAGACTGTGAGAAGTTGAAAATAGATCCATCAGTCAAATACATCTTGGAGATGGACAGGTCCCCCACATGTCCCCCTTCTTCTATAGTATTAAAAAACGAAGCATCAAGTTAATTGTAAATCTGATTAAAGTTTAACAGTAAAATCTTGGTTATTTTAATACAATAAGGACAAGAATTAATTTATAATAAATGTTTTATTCAGGGTTCAGCAAAACCACAGATAGTGCTGAACTACGTCCCATTTTTATCAAATGAGTTAGAGCCTAGGTTGATTCCATAAAACCAGGAATTAATAGTTTTCTTCAGCACTGAGGGCAGATAAGAATGCTTTGTCATAGAATCACAGAAAATTAGGCTGGCTGGTTAGCTCAGTTGGTTAGAACATGGCCTATTGTAACACTAAGGTCAAGGGTTTGGATCCCCATACTGGCCAGACACACACACATTACCCCTCAAAAAAAAAAAAAAACCCTTATTTTTTAAAAAAGAAAGAAAATTAAATAGTTAGAAGGGACTGAAGAAATCCCAACTCATATAATTAGAATAGACTACCCTCTTTATGTATGAAAAAAATGAATCTCAGAAAGTTCAATCATTTATCCAAGGTTCTCCAGCTATCAAAAGAGTATGTGGTCTGGAATCCAATTCTAATTCCTAGTACAGTACATTATCACTAAATGATAACAATTTTCTGTTGAAAGTAGAAATCTCTTTTTTGCTTATTTGTATTTTTAAAACTATTCTTAATGTACACACATTGCTTCTAGAACCTAAAAAGGTCATGTTTATTTAGACAAAAAACAATGTTGGCTTACTACACTGATATATACCAAAAGCAGAAAGATTAGATTTGTGAACTACATGTATGAGGATACTTCAAAAAAGTTCATGAAAAGATTCATATTATTTTAATTCTACATTTCCACGCACCTACTGAAGTACCCTCATATATCTTAGACAGTTGACTTAATTTGCGTGTTTTAATTTCTTGCAAATGAGATATTCTACAAAACACCTTAAACAATACCTGGTACATGGGAAGTCCTCAATAAGTAGTACCTTTTATTAGTACAAAGTTATTAAATTATTACTAAGCTAGTAAAATTCTCTAACACACTATTGAAATAGGGTAAGTGCTGCATTTCAGTGTCCACCAGATTCTAGCTCCCTCAAGTTCCGCAAGTCTTTCCTGTGATGTGAACAAAGCAATGGAGTTGTGGGAATCAATGCAAGATATCCCCTGAAAAGAGCCAGGCCTCAGAAAAATTCTTCAGCAACTGAACCAATCTAATGCTAAATTATTTTACCATACTTCTTCCTCTCAAGTTATGCATTATATACTAATCCGACCCATTTAACTTCACATTCTGTTAAATCTTTCTCTTATCACTTAGATTTCATTAAAATCCTCCTAACTGGCCTTCCAGCTTTCAATCCAACACCCCTAAAGTCTTGTTGTCATAGCAGCAATAGGTCCTCTCATTAAATCCTAAATCAGATAATGTCACTCTGCTCAAAACCTTCCAAAGAGCCAGGTTTCTCACTGTTGGAGTGGAAGGTTACATATAAGAAGCAAGAGGGGAAGGCTAGAATGATCCATGTATACCAGATTAGAGCTGGAACTCATGTTTAGCTTAATGTACATACTGATGGAGACAGAAATTATTATAGCTATGTATGTATACATAGGTTAGCTCTGTTAGCTGGAAGGGCCAGAAAGCAGTAGCACCCCATAACAATGAACACACCCAGTGCTCAGATCTTGGTTTCTAACAGCATTTCTCTTATAAAAAGAACCAGGGCTCCTTGGAGAAATGGCTGAGCATTTTGTAGTGCCAGAAAGGAACTATAGTCATGCATTACTTAATTACATGGATACGTTCTAAGAAATGCACGTTAGGTGATTTTATATCTGCATGAACGTCATAGAGTGCACTTACACGGTATAGCCTACTATATATCTAGGCTATATGGTATATCTACTATAATCTTATGGGACTGGGATGGCTGGTTGGCTCAGCTGGTTAGAGCACTGCGTTTTAACATCAAGGTCAAGGGTTTGGATCCCCTTACTGGCAAAAAAAAAAAAAAAAAAAAAATCTTATGGGCAACCATTGTATATGTGGTCTGTCACCTGAAATGCCGTCATACAGCCCATAACTGTACTAAAAAAACAAACTGATGGGAGTATGTCAAAGGGACACAGGAACCAACTGAAAGGGCTCCCAATGGCCAAAGCTGGAACAATCTGAGCAACAAAATAAGTAACAAAGTATTGGCTTATAAATCAAACCAAAAATAAATAACTGTAAGTCTATACTGATATAAGTAAGTCAATAAATTAATGAGAGAGAAGAAACAAATCTCCCATACAGAAGAATTCTAAACAATTTACGTAGATGCTCTCCCCGCAAAGAGATGAAGCAAAACTACTCATCTCTTAAGTGTGGTCCATGCTTAAGGACTTGCTTCCAAAGACTACAGTACAGAAAAGGGGGAAATACTTCATAGTAGAGAAACCTGACAAACACTACCTCAGCCAAGTGAGCCAGGTTAATTAATATCAACAGTGCCCAGAATAGCTAACGCAATCCTGAGCAAGAAAAAATAAAGCTGGAGACTTACACTACCTGACTTCAAATTATACTACAAAGCTACAGTAACCACAATAGCATGGTACTGGCATAAAAACAGACACTCGGACCAATAGAACAGAATAGAGAAGCCAGAAATCAACCCACACACTTAAAGCCAACTCATCTTTCACAAAGGCACCAAGAACATACATTGGGGAAAAGACTGCCTCTTCAATAAATTGTGCTGAACATCCATATGTAGAAGAATAAAACTAGACCCATACCTCTCGCCATATACCAAAACCAACTCAAAATGGATTAAAGACTTAAATATAAGACCTGAAACTATAAAACTCTTAAAAGAAAACATAGGGGAAACATGTCAGGAAGTAGGACTGGGCAAAGACTTTATGAATATGATCCTAAAGGCACAGTTAATGAAAGGAAAAATAAACAAATGGGGATTATATCAAACTAAGAGGCTTCTACAAAGCAAAAGAAACAATAAAGTGAAAAGACAACCAACAGAGTGGGAGAAAATGTTTGCAAACTACGCATTTGATGAGGGATTAATATCCAGAATATACAAGGAACTCAAACAATGTAACAGTAAAAAAACAAGTAACCCAATTAAAAAATAGGCAAAGGAGCTGAATAGGCATTTCTCAAAGGAAGATATACTAATGGCCAATGGACACATGAAAAAATGCTCAACATCACTAAGCATCAGGGAAATGCAAATAAAGCCACACTGAGATATCATCTCACCCCAGTTAGACTGGCTAATATCAAAAAGACAGAGAATAACACATGTTGGTGAGGATGTGTGGAAAAGGGAACCCTCCTACACTGTTGGTAGGATTGCAAATTACTGCAGCCATTATGGAAAACAGTATGCAGGCTCCTCAAACAACCACAGATAGAACTGCCATGCGATAAAGCAATCCCACTGCTGAGTATGTACCTGAAGGAATGGAAATTGTCATGTCAAAGGGATACCTGCACTCCCATGTTTATCACAGCTCTATTTAGTATAGCCAAGAGTTGGAACCAACCTAAATGTCCATTGATGGATGACTGGATAAGGAAAATATATATATACATACAGTGGAATATATACACAATGGAATACTACTCTGTCATAAAAAAAGAATGAAACAGCTATAAAAAAGAATGAAATTCTGCCATTTGCAGCAACATGGATAAACTTAGAGAAAATTACATTAAGTGAAATAAGCCAGGCATGGAGAGAGAAATACTGCGCGTCCTCTCTCCTAAGTGGGAGCTAAAAAATAAACAAAGAAAGAAACATACAACAATCACAATAATTCATTGAACTTTCAAAAGGAGAGAACAGAACTGAGACCACCAGAGGTAGGAAAGGGGGAGGGAGAGAGAAGTTTAGCAAGAAATTGGAAAAGGACCACAAAAAATGATTATATTGCATAATGTTGAATGTACTAATTATCCTGATTTGAGCAGCACATATTGCACACGGGTATTGATATTCAACGTTTACCCCACAGATATGTATAATCAATTATGTTTCAGTAAAAAGCCAACAAGAACAAAAATCAACAGTGATGAGAAAGGTCAAGTTGATAGCATGTAACCCTGATATGATGAAATGAGAATGGCACTTCATTTCTATGATCTTCTTCCCCCAAATCCATATCTTACTCTAAGAGAAAAACATCAGACAATCTCCAATTGAGGGGCATTGTACAAAATACTCAAACAGTTACCTCTTCAAATACCTAACTACCTCAAAACTGCTAAGGCCATCAGAAACAAGTAAAGTCTGAAAAACTGTCACAGTCAAGAGGAGCCTATAGAGACACAACCATTAAATGTAATATAGTATCCTGGATGGAATCCTGCAACAGTAAAAGAACATTAGGCAAAAACTAAGAATATCTGAATAATGTATGAGCTTCATTTAATAATATATCAATATTGGCTCATCAACCCATAACAAATGTAGCACACTACCACACCAATATATGATGTTAATAAAAAGGCAAACTGGGTGTGGCATATATGGGAACTGCACCGCACTATTTTCACAACTTTTCTGGAGATCTAACATTATTCAAAAATAAAGTTCACTTCTTAAAAATTAAAAACCTCCAATGCCTCTCCATTTCAGTAACAGCAAAGGCCAAAATCCTTACTCCCCACCCCCCATTCCCTTGCACACCACTGCCAACCTCCCCCACCTCCAGGATTTCATCTCCAATTACTTTGTTGCTTAATCACTAGACAAGCTGGCCCCCTTGCCTGACCTGGAACTAGCCAAGCAGGCATGCTCCCTTTGATTTGCTGCTGGCTCTCCTGGAATGACCCTGGCATTCATGTGGCTAAATCCCTTCCCTCTTTGAATTTTTGGCTCATATCTTATCTTCTCAATGAGGTCTACTCTGATCATGTTATTTAACATCTTCATCTACGCCACAATTGTCAGCATTCCCAATCCCTCTTACTCTAATTGATTTTCTTTACACAGCACTTACCATCTTCTGACATAACTTGTTAGGTTTGTTGTTTACTGTCTGTCTCCACTCAATAGCACGTTAGTTCCACAGGACAAGGATTTTAAAATTTTGTTTTTTTGGGTTATACTCACAGATGAATCCCAATCATCTACTTAAAGCGGCATCTTCCCTGTAGTAGCCACTCAATATATTTTTGCTGAATGAATAAAGTTTAATTTACAGACTTCAGAGGGTTCGATCCCCATACCCGCGGCCAAAAAAAAAAAAAAAAAAAAAGTTTACAGACTTCAGAAGATGTGCCAAAAATTATAAGTTTTAAGAAAGTAAAGATTATTCTTAATAATTAGGCACATCACTCTTGGACCTTGAAGCAATTATACGGTCTCCTACTGTACAATAACTTTCTTGCACAGCTGCAAAAAATGGGAAAATACTATGTATCATGAGAAGTACGATCCCATTTCTATTTTTAAAAAAGTCTGTAAATGTGTGTGTATACATAGAAAAACTGAAAGGTTGTCAGAAAAACGTTTACATATCCCTGGGGGGTAGGCTACAAGGTAGGTTTTTTCTCCTTGTAATGTCCGATAGCTTCCCCCCCCCCCAATAACCATGCATGCAATGTTCTTTTAAAAAGCTATTTCTTTTTCTAAAAAGACACCTATTTAGTTATAAAAGGAGGGAAAACACTACTGAAAATGCAGAACTCAGGATTTTCCTTGAAATAAACCGAGGTGTCTGAAGGAAAGAAATATGTCTCTTCCCCGAGCTCCTAATACCTAACAAGTAGTGGGCAGGCCTCATAACTGCTTCTTGGCAAAAAAGGCAAAACAAGCAGCTTTGGGTAGGTGGCAATTAAAAGATGGTTGCAAAATCATAGTTTTTAGTAAAATGGCAAATATTTTAACTGCCAACTCCGGGAAGCCTGCTTTCTAAAATGCAGCTATTTTAAAATAAGGCAATTTTGTGTCTTCATTATAAAAAATCAAGTTACACTGATCCCCAGTGGGATCCTTAAGTTACGAGTAAAGCAGCGGCACAGAAACTGCTAAATATTCGACTTCCCTTCCCCAAGCCGTCCAGCCTCGGCGGCTCCGCCCACGAGCGCCGAGAGTCGGAGGTGGACCAGCCGCGCGGCCCGTGACCCCTCCAACTGGGACAGGATCTGGCCGGCCAATGGCCTTCTGGAAGCCAATAAGATGGGACCGGGACGCAGACCCATTTAGGTCGCCGTGATCCTCCAACTCAGAACGGAATAGGGAAAAATCAATCAGCATCTGCAGAGGTTCCCAGATACACACTCCTGGCGAAAAATGCAGTAACGTTAGCCTCTCACTCCCCACTCACCAGCGCCCGCTAAACGTTCGGCCTGAACTTCCCCACCGAGGGGAAGACTCCGAGCACAGGAAGGGCTACCAATTGCGACACTCAAAGCCGCCCGACTCAGCGCGCGCGACCGGCGAACTAGGGCACTTTAGTTCCGGCGAAGTAGCTCCCACTCAGAAGGGCCGTAGAAAGAGAGCGCAGGCGCTTGGGAGTCACGGGGCCTCTTCCCACAAGCGTCGCAGACACGCGCAGCTTTGTCACGGGTTGCGGCGGGGGCGAGTTCCCGGAATCGTGGCCATGTCAGGGCTGGGGCAGGACCCGGAAAGCAGAGCGGCTGTCACTGTGCTAAAGCGGGCGGTGGAACTAGATTCGGAGTCCCGGTACCAGCAGGCTCTGGTGTGCTACCAAGAGGGGATTGATATGCTCCTGCAGGTTCTGAAAGGTGAGCAATGAGCCATGGAGGGGAGGACCGGAGGAGAAGGAGCAGGTTCCCACTGTGTCTGGGGTGGACTGAAAGAGTTAAAGACGAATTCTTACACTGCACGAGGAAGCAGCCGAATACAGAAGTTGGCATCTTCTACAGGACTACTGGGCTAGTTTCGTTTACACCATGAACAGATTGACGTCATCAAGAAAAAGGGGAGGGTAGTATTCTAGTTTAAGACTTAAGAGACATAATCAAGGGTAATATATAAGCCTTGCTAGGATCTGGGTTTGGACGAACGTTAAAAGACATTTCTGGATCAGTTTGGAAAGTTTGAATATGGATTGGATGACATTAAAATTATTAATTTTGTTAGGCAGTGTGAAGTTGAAGCAAATATGGCAAAAATGCTAACGATTTTTAAAATCTAGGTGATGCATCAGAAAGTTGTTCATTATACTATTATCTTCATTTTCTCGTTTAAACACTTCCATAAAAGTAAACAAAAATAAAATAACGTAGATAAGTTTTTTCTTAAATGCATGTACTGAAATTTGGTGTGAGAAATGCACAGGATTGTGGATGGGGTAGTGAGACTTTTCCTATTACGTAGTTACTCAGTGTTGAGAAGTGCCCAAATATACCTTAATGCCCAGAACAACTCCTAGTTCAGAGTAGACACTCAATAATTATGTATGAAATTGATAAAGACCACCTCCTGCTCCGCAACCGCTGGAGCTCCCAGTCTGGCCTAAGAGTGCTGCTCCCTCTATGCTCTTTCTAGTTTAAGCTTGTAGAGGGTCCCTTTTCAGCAGAGGGTTTGGTGCTTTTCTCAGAACTAAAAGTATAAACACTTTGTGCAGGGTCCATTTGATGATAATGATGATGACAACGACAGTAAGTGCATAGCTATCATTTATGAGTGCTGAGTGCCAGCCACTGTGCAGAGCACATTAAAAGCATGATCTTGTTTCATCCTTAAAATTGCCCTATGAAGTAGGAGTTGATGGTATTCTTGTTTTACAGCACAGAACAGTAGTTAGCTTTTAAGTTCTGCCACTAGGATGTGGTAGAGCCATTACTGGAACCCAAGGCCTATATGACTCTGGTATACTGAATCCCAGGAAGGGAGATGATGTACAGTGTTGGTCAGGTGGAACACTGCTCAAGTCCTAGCTGCTCTAAGCATCTGAAGCATGAGAATCACGTGAGTTCTGCTCCAGTGTGCTTCACTGATCCGGTAGAGATTACAGAGACAGTGACATGACAGAGACAGGTTAAGACCCAAAATGCAAATAACTAAACATAGGTAATAAGTGCCAGGACAGAGATATAGGCAAGTGCAATGAGGATTTAAACATTTAAAGGCCATTTGGGGATGGAAAAGGAGAATGATGTTTCATAGGGCCTTTGGAAGAATAAGTAGAATTTCAGAAGTTAGAAATTTGGCTAGGAGTACTCAAATTATGTCTGCTGATTAATCAAAAATGTGGGTCAGTTTGGTTCAGCGTATGTCTGAAGAGGAAGAGTAAGAAGTAAACTTTAAAGGTAAATTGGGGCTTGGATCACATTATGGATGGCCTTGACTGCCAGGAGACTTTAACTCATTCTGTAGTCAGGGAAAAACCATTTAGGGTTTTTCCAAAGGAGTGATATAAAGTTCCATTTCAAGGCTTGTCTCTCTTAGGAATTTGCCCCTTTCTCCCAAATATTTGCATGGCATACTCCCTCTCCTCCTTCAGGACTTCACACAAATATCACCTTTTTTATGAGGCTTTCCCTGACCTCTAGTGTAAAATTATTATTTTTTTTTTCCTTTTTTTTTTGTCTTTTTTCGTGTCCGGAAACGGATCGCAACCCTCAGTGTCGCGCCCGTACCGGACCGGGACCGGCAACGGGATCGCAAACCTCGGTGCTGCGCCCGCACCTCGCTCAGCCAGTGAGCGGGAACCGGTCTGTATGTGGGATCCGAACCCTCGCGGGAGCGTCGCCGCGCTCCCAAGCGGCGCACTGCAGCAGTGCGCCACCGGCCGGCCCTCTAGTGTAAAATTTTAACTCCATCCCAGCACTCCCTGTCCTCCTTCCTTGCTTTATTTTGTTTAATAGCACTTATCACAATCTATACATATTTTGCCAGTTTGTTTTTATTGTCGTCTTTCTTCCCACTTGAGTGATAGGGAAAATTGTGTCTGTTTTACTGACTGCTGTATTCTCAGTGCTTAGAATAATGCCTGGCACGTAGTAAGTTCTGAATATTTCTTGAATAAATGACTGAATATAACAAGGGTTTGGAACAGTCGTTAACCTGTAGAGACTGAAGTCAAGCAGACCAATTAAGGAGCTACTGCAGGGATCAAGATGATAGGTGATAAAAAAAAAAGAAAAAAGCCTGAGTGAACCAGGGGGATGACACCAATATTAGTATAAGGAGGGAACTGTATGGATGTTGAATTACTGGCATTGGCACATGACTAAATGTTGGGTTGAGATTCCAATGAGACTCAAAGATGGCTGTAAAAGGTTTCAAGCCTGGAAAAACGAGGTATGATGGTTGAAGGATGGGTGTACAGTGTCAAACACTGCAAACTGATCAAGGACAATGACTAAGGAAGGACTACTACATTTATAGAGCGGAAGTCACTGGTGAACTTAGCTTTAAGATAGTTCAAAATATTTTTATCTAAAGACCAAATGGCAAATAGTTAAATTGAGTGTGTAGACTACTTTTCCAAGAAGGATGTCAGTAAAGATAAGAAGAGTAAGAAATTCATAATTTAAAAGCATCACAAGGTTGAAGAAAGGTGGTTTTTGTTTTGTTTTGGTAGGAGAGAGATGGGGGAAATGGAGCATGTTTATAGGCAGTAAGTAGCAAAATAACAGTGGAGTTTAAGAAAAGGGATACTAGATAAAGTGTGGTTCTACAGGAAGCCCAGAGTGAGGTGTATGGATTCCGAGTATGGAAAGAATTACGTAGATGATAATGACATTGATAACTAACATGTATTGAGTATTTCCTACACGTCAGCCTCTTTTATAATTAATTATCACAACAACTCTCTAAGGTACTGTTACTATCTCCATATTACAGACGAGGATACAGAGAGACTAAATAACTGGCCAGGGTCACACAGCCAAAAGTGGCAAAGCAGGTTTTGAACTAAAACAATCTGACTTCAGACACTTTTCTGTGAACTATTCTTCATACTACCTTGTTGTAAAGAGACCATAAAATACTTTATCCTGACAAAAAAAGACAGTACAAAGCTTTTGTGTTTAGACAAGCATATATCAACTTAGTGGAAAAATAGGAGTTCTCGTATCCACTTGGGAGGAACAAATAGGATTCCTCACAAGAGAT